GCTCAACTACCATCTACCTTATTTATGAACACTACATATTCTGGATTTCAATATTGTGAGTGTGGGGGGATGCATACACCGGCTGGAAGTTACATTGTGCACAAAAAGAGCTTGTATCTACTGTAATGTCCTGTTGGCAGGTTATATCTATACATACCTTGGTATACATATATATATACCAAGCTGGTTATAAAGTGGGGAACTGATAGAGATTGGCCAATTTCCATGGATATTGATTTGTGAGGTTGCTAGGATATGGTACTGGATAATGACGTGTATTGGAAACATGACCAGGTGAAGTAGAGCCGAGTAGAGTAGGGTAGGGTCAAGTAGGGCTGGTGGAAACGGGGCTTAATTTTATTCTATGAGCTTGTTTGAGTATAGTAAGTTATCTCCCAATGTAATAGCCTTCTCAATGACTTTTTATTAGCACTAAACACAAGAAGTAAAAAGTTCCTTCATGACATTTTGAAAAATCTGATTAATGTCAAAGAAACCAGCGTGATGCTAATGTGGCTAGTTAGTTAGCTAATGTGTTTGGTGTAACTTGTGTGCGCCAAACAAAGCACTGAATATGTGTCTTGGCTATGTCCACACGGAGACAAACAGCTAAACGTTTTGAAATTGTGCGCAGATGGAAAAAGCTATCTAAATATGTACATTCAGATGGATTCGCTTCTGACCGTTGTAATACACATTCCAGGCCTGAAAGCGGTGCTGTGAAGCTGAGTCAGCGGTGGAGGAATTACTGTGTTGTAAACAGCAAATTCAGTTCACCCCTCAGGAGCCCAGAGTGGGGATGTCATCATGTTAAAAAAAGTATATATCTAACATGATGCATATACGCCGGTTTCAAGATTCAGAAGGCTTTCAACAAGACCTAACCTTAAGCATTCAACAATACATAGAAAAAAGTAAGAACAAAGCTTTTCAACTTTTACAATATCTGGCACAACAATATTAACTCCTCACTCCAATGCTCCCAGTCAATGTTCGTAGAGGTTTGCCACTCTTCAAAGCCGATTATCCCGTTGGCTTTCATGTGTGAGGCGTGAATTGAACTTGATGCAGTCTAATCAAACATGTCGGGTTCGTTGGAGGAGGACGAAGTGATGCGGAGATTCTGATGCGGAGGTGTGACAAATCCTTCTGTGAATTTTCTGCTAAACAGCTGCAGACTTCACCAGAGCGCAGAACCATGAGGGGAGAGCTCGCTGAAGCACAACACTCATTGTCCAATCGCCTGTCGAAACGTTCCACAGCCTAGTTACGGAGATGATGATAAGAAGTATTGTTAGATTAATAATGCATCAGAATTATAGACACACTTCACATGTCATTATTGTATCACTTCACAGCTGTCCTGGGGCACACTGACAGAAGCGAGGCAACCAGTATGTGCCATCAGCCCCTCCAACCAGGGATCTCCCATCACAGTACTAACCAGGCCCTGCCCTGCTTAGCTCCAGAGGTCTGATGGGATCTGGCTTTTACATGCAGGTATGGCCACATGCTTGTTATGATTTGCAAAACCTTGGCAACTATATGTGTAGAGCAAAGATGTAAAAAGGTTGTCAAAGAGGTAGTATTTAAATGTTTTTCTTCACAGAAATCAAGTCACTAAAAATAAATAAATTGTTGACGTACTTTTGGCCAGAAATATATTCTCAAATTCTCAATTGAAATAATAATTCTTGCATAATTTGGGCAAATGATTAGTCAGTCGCATTGTTTAACAGACAAATCTTTTATATTTTGTTTGAATCCCAAGCTGATTATTATCTAATAAAAAAATTAAAATTTGTCATTTATGTTGCCAGTTTTTGGGTGAATTTCAGATGGTTTGGTTTCTGCCTAAAGTCTAAAAATCTACCAAAGGTTTATATTGTATTTATAGTATTGTTATAAAACCAGTAAGATTAAAAAAAATGAATCTATGTCAATTAATTATAATAATATATATTGATCATATAGTTATATAATAATAATTCATGCGCACGTCACTTTACACTTCTTCAAACCAGTGCACATGGTGAATGAATAATGCATCTGCTAAAGTGATCTGGCTCAACTATGGCATTTACTGAGTAGTCTTTTATTGAGGCCATGTTAATTACAGAGTTTAATCATGTTCCTAAAGGCTATACATACACCATTGTGCTCTAATGCGCTCAACAAGGAGATATTTCATGCAAACACAGTGGATGCCTGCTACAGAAAGAGCATGAATACATTAGTATAGTTTTTGCTTAAACAGTGTTTCCCACATCTCATGAATACAATAGCCCGTCTGAATGCCCGCCTGTTCCTTTGGTGCTCTGGCTTGTATTTGTCACTCTACTACAAGATATAAATAGCTGGTGTGCACAAGATTTGCTGGTTCATAGACAGCTTATTAGTATGCAAGGCATGGATCCTGGTAAACCAAGTCAGGATTTCAACAAGGCCCAGTGGAAATGTAGAGAATATTACAACATTATGGCAGAAGCGCAAAGTGTGGCGTGGTTTTCATCAGAGCCTGGAGCTGTCAGGACAGTGGCCTGCTACAGGTCCCTGAGGGGGGAAACTGTACTGATCAAATCAGCTGCATGCACTCAGGCTCAGATTCACATGACGACAGCAGACTGGGTTATGAGGAAGACGCATGCATGTCCTTACCTTCACTTCTACAAAAATAAAAAATGAAGATGAGGTTTTTAGTGTCAACTCCTTCTAGGATTGCTTCATGCATATTTGAAAAAGTTCTTCTTCCCTGGACAGAGGTTTTGTACTGAACTGATTGCCTGCATTTTTTCTCCTGGCCATTTACCACAACTGTGCATTCAAAAACATTGCCATAAAATTAAAACAACGCATTGGTTTAGCTGAGGAAGACAACAGAGAGCTCGGCAGTTATGGGTGAAGCTCATAGTTTATGGAATGTTCTTGGACTAACGTTGATTTGAACGGAGCTGTGTGTGTTCTGGTGTTTGTTTTCTGAATGAGACTTAAGTCGTCCCTTAGACTTCTGTATTTTGCATCACTGCCAGTACACACCAGATACCCACCCTTGCTCAGCCAATCAGCTCTCAGCCCGAAGTGACCTATTTTGACACACAGGGCTCTTTTGTACAAGAAAAGATCAAATGTTTTCTAATAGATGAAGACAGTGCATTGTCTCTTTCTGGCTCTTTCTGTGGGATCGATCAAAACTCTAAAACCTCTAAAATTGTATATTGAACAACCATACATTGAAGTTTCAGGGCTCACTGCCTGCATTAGACCTATGGGGAGATGTTTGAACGGGGCTTACACGCACAATCTGCAGCTTCCACCACGTCCCAAGATCCACGTTGTTGTTTGACCAAATGATGTTCTGAGAGCTTATACCATTGTCATAAGAGCCACAAAGACCGTTTTGTATGCAAAATGCTAAACTCAGATTAGCTTTGGCAGTCAAACAAGTTGAAAAGAGCCTCAGCAGAGCGAGTGGTTATCAGAGAGTCTTGTAACAACACTTAAAAGCAAAACGCTCCAAAATAAACCCAGAGGAAATCTTTTGAAGATTATCCAGCCATTGGACAAGTTAAGACATTCAGCCGGAAATTGTAAAAGCCATATTACATTGATTTTGCACCATGCATACGGACGATATCAGTGGCGGTATTGATTCGGCTGGCAGTGTCTTCATTCAAACAGCTAATATGACTTATATGCTGAAATTATAGCTCTCCATTTTGGTCCAAACCTTGCAAAATGTACAGCACAAGGCGTGTAGTGTTCTCATGATGCCCCAGGTTAAGAACAGCCAGTGCTATAACAACGTTTTCTGGAAACAGTGTGTACAAAATCAATATATAAATGAATGAAAAAAGTAAAAGTCACAAAATTACTTCCACAGATCTTAACGTACAGATAGTTGCTTACTGTGGAATTGTCTGAGCTGGTGGAAGAGTAAACTCGTTCAACTCCTGCTGAGATTTGTGATGCAATGCAACTTTCCAGCCCGTCGAGTGTTTGTGAAGAGGGGAAAATGTTGGGGAGAGATTCATGATTCTTGTGCTGTGGTATAAATTTGGTGGGAATGTTATGGCAGGGGCTGAAAATGTAAAAAAACGGAAGACTTTTGCTTCCCACTATGTACATTACCAATAATATACAGTTAAAGGGTGTTATGTTATGTAGGATTTTATTAATTAATTCATTAATATTTCACATTTCAAACACCACCACTCCTGCACATTGTAGTTGCACACATCAATACATCAAGCTTCTTAATTCCCACCTCTAGACTTTGTTTTTTTTTTTCTTTCCCAAGCACACGTTTTAGTGGCAGACTGTTTACAACTCAATGCGTTTCCCAAAATTGTCCATTGTGAGCCTTCAACCTTAAATTGTATTCAAATCAATGTATTTATGTACAGCCCTAAAGCACAAAAACAGTTGTCTCACAGATTCTACAAAGTTGTTGATTTGCCCACAACATCAGAGAATCAAACATTTTTCAAACAAGGCAAGGCGAATTTATTTAAAAAGTACCATTCATACAGAAGCAACCCAGGGTGCTTAACAGGCATAGAAAGAACATTGGCAAAAAACAAAAAATTATAGAACACAATAAAACATGATGAAAATATAAAAATATATATACATACACATGCATATACGAACACAGGAAATGCAACCATAATCAACACACAGGGTCTATAGGGGCGGGATGACCAAAAAATATTAATGTATTTTTTAATAAATATCCCTAAATGTTCCAGATCGTCACTCCTTTATCGGCAAAGAATGATTAAAAGAAGAAAAATTGATGAGATCACGTTATGGGTAAACAAACAATAACATTCATATATCTTTAGTCAAGTCGTTTCTTTTAACTGTGATAAGAATTCTTGACATAAGGGGATCAATAGCTTCAACAATACGCTTATCTGAACATGTAAGCACGGACATTTGGAGACGACACCGGGCTTGTTTGCAGCGAGAAGTGTGCGTGCAGCGATGTGTGAAGAGGAATGCTTGACAGCTCCGACTATTATGAGATGATTTATAGTAATTCTCGGAGTGCGGGCATCTTCTTTGTTTCCATGGCTTTGCTCTGCTGCTCCCTGTGGCTCCTTCCTGTCATGTACAGTGCCTTGCGAAAGTATTCAGCCCCCTTGAACCTTTCAACATTTCGCCACATTTCAGGCTTCAACATAAAGATATAAAAATTCAATTTTTTGTCAAGAATCAACAACAAGTGTGACACAATCGTGAAGTGGAACGAAATTTATTGGATAATTTAAACTTTTTTAACAAATACAAAACTGAAAAGTGGGGCGTGCAATATTATTCGGCCCCCTTGCGCTAATACTTTGTAGCGCCACCTTTTCCTGCAATTACAGCTGCAAGTCGCTTGGGGTATGTCTCTATCAGTTTTGCACATCGAGAGACTGGAATTCTTGCCCATTCTTCCTTGCAAAATGGGCAAAATGGAGGGAGAGCGTTTGTGAACAGCAGTCTTCAGCTCTTTCCACAGATTCTCGATTGGATTCAGGTCTGGACTTTGACTTGGCCATTCTAACACCTGGATACGTCTATTTGTGAACCATTCCATTGTAGATTTGGCTTTATGTTTTGGATCATTGTCCTGTTGGAAGATAAATCTCCGTCTCAGTCTCAGGTCTTTTTCAGACTCCAACAGGTGCATAAAAAGCATGTCTATTTGTTGCTGAGTTTGGAGCAGCTGGGTTTTTGTGCTGTCCGGTCCACCCATGTTGGAGTGTTACCTTGCATCCGCTTTATACAATGGAATCACAACATAACGGGATTTGCTATTCTCAGAAAAATCCAGTCCATTTTCAATTTTATTTCAACATCCACAATACTTATTTTCCTACCACTCAAAAATAAACTCGGAAAACCGTCCAAACGATGTCCCTAATTGCTCGGCTCAAAGCAGATTTGACCGATGCCATACAGATTTTCTACTGTTTAAGCACTTTCTACAATCCACACACATTCATTCATTCATTCAGAAGTAAACAATGGGAGGGAGGTCGCATGTCTTGCCCATGGGAACAACAATAGTATGCATGATTTTTCTTTCAGATCAGAGAACGCAATCTACCGACAATACGACTGGCGCAAAAAGAGAAAAAACATTTTGAAGAATAAGAATGTGGTGTACCCTTCACCACAAAAGTAGCAGCACGTTTGATTTTTTTCACCAATGCAAAAATCTTTTCACAGGCAATTGGAATGACTGAAAAGAACCTAGTGCATACCAGATACGCAGTACAAAAATACAAACAAATGTCAAAAAAACCTTGACAAAAATGACACAATAATTGGTGAGTTATTAAGACAAGAAAGAAACACAAAGGTGCAGTTCACCAGTACTTTTGTGAACCGTATTCGTTGGGCTTTATCAAAGAGAATCTGAGCTTTCAAGTGTTACATGAAAATGGCTTCGACCAATCTAAGCTCTAAGCATTGCCTGATTTGACCACCTGCCATTCTGGTCCAAACTGGGGCTAAAGAGCACCACTCCCGAGAGCAATTTCCTCATCCGAGCCCAGAGTCAATAAGGTCAAGCGGAGGACATTAATCACTGAGATTCAAGAGAAAAAAACCAGCGGCTCTTATAGCTTCGACATGTGATGTATTCTGTAGGTTTAGGTCCACGCACCTTCATTAAATCTTAATTAAATTCCTCTTCTGTCACGGTTCTTTCATACTCCTCCCATGATAAACCTCTGCTGGTTACCAATTAAGCCGATACATTTACATGCAGCGGCGTCAGAAGGAGACACGCTCAATCACCCGCGTGTCAGTCTCATCTATCATGCTCTTACTTACCACCTTAACCCCATGTATCGATTCTGTATAGCACACGTGTACACCTGCTCTCCGCCATGTAATGGAGGAGACAAGAGCTGGGGCTTGGGCGTGGGCTGGATGTGGTGTGATGCCCGATGCGCACAACTTTCAAAGAATAAAGTGTAAAAGCAGGGGCACTGGAGGGATATTTGTGCAATGTCTGAAGAGAAGGATTTAGGCCTTGAGCATATTGGCAGTGTGTGTGTGCAGCATTGATGTTCACACTGTTTCTATTACGCATTGTGAGAGGCAGAGGCGCCATTTTGTATTGCACAAGCACGGTGGTCTCTGTCTGCATGTTAAAAGTAAGCAAAGGGTGAACGCTTTCTCACAATCAGAGAGAGAAAGATTAAAGCAGGAGGTGTATTGATACATATCTGCAAAAGCTGAACCCAAGATGTGATAGAGGCCAAAAATATATGCTCTGAAAACTAGAGTTGTATGTGATTGGATACACCACTTGTCTGGGATCTTGAATGACGTGCTAGTGGTGGGTTTTTTGTGGTGGGGGGGGGGGGGGTGGGGGTGGTGGTGGAGGGGTGGGGGGGGGGGGGTTGGGGGGGGGGGGGGGGGGGGGGGGGGGGGGGGGGGGGGGGGGGGGGGGGGGGGGGGGGGGGGGTGGGTGGTGTTGGGGTGTGGGGGGGGGGGGGGGGTGGGGGGGGGGGGGGGGGGGTGGGGGGGGGGGGGGGGGGGGGGGGGGGGGGGGGGGGGGGTAGGGGGATGATAGGTTGATGGGTGGGGGGGGGGGGTGTGGGGGGGTGGGGGGGGGGGAGTGGGGGGGGATGGGGGGGGGGTGTGGGGGGGGGGGGGGGGGTGGGGGGGGGGGTTGGGGGTGGGTTGGATGTGTGTAGTAGGGTGGGGGGGTGGGGGGTGGTTAGGATGAGTGGGGGGTTGATAGGGGGGGAGGTGGTTTTGTTTTTTTTATTGGGGTTTGTGTTTAGTTGTTAGGGTTGTTATTTGAGTTTTGTGGGTTTAATTTGTTGGTTTTGTGTGGTGTATTTGGGTGTATTTTTGGTATTTTATTTTATTGAGTTTAGGGTAATGTAGTTATTTTAAGTTGGGGTGGGTGGGATATTTTTGAATTTGAGTGGTTTTTAGTTTTGATTATTTAGTTTATATAATTTTGATTGTTATGGAGGGGGGGGATGATATGAGGAGGGTTTTAGGGGGTTTGTGAGAAATTAGAGTAGGTTTTTGTTGGTAAGTTTTGGTGTTGAGTAGGTATAATAGGGGTAGTAGGGTGATGAAGAGAAAGGGAGAGAGATGTATGGGGTTTATTCGATGGGCGGTTAGTATGTATTTAAGTGGGGGATGTCGGGGGTAGGGTTTAATGGGTGTTGGTGGGTTAAGGTATTAATGGGAGGGATTATTGGTGTTTTATTTGGGGAGAGAGATGGGATAATTGGAGGTATTTATGGTTTGGATAATGGATTATGGTGGAAGTATAAATAAGTAGGACTGGGAGGGGAGTTCACGGGTGGTGGATTTTGAGGGGATGGGGGGTATTGATGTGATTGATAAATTGCTATGTGATATTGAGAGAGGAGTGAAGAAGTAAGGGGGGGGGTTGTTGGATAGGTAGGGAGGGAAATTGAAAATTATTTGATGAATTTCATTCGTGGGTGGAAAGGGAGAGCAGTTGGAGTAGGTCCCATGACGAGCTTGAACCCACAACCTTCAGGCTCAAAGGCCAATGCTCTACCAACTGAGCTACTGTCGCCCCAAATCTGGAATTGTCTTCCTTCAAATGTGTGACAAAGCTTCCACTCTGACAAAGTTGAAATCCAGGTTAAAAACTGTTATTTTTAGCTGTACATACAAAGATCAGGGAATTTCATGATTCAAGTCACTCTACCAGCTCCATCTACTACTCAACACACAATATTTACTATACACTAACACAAAGCTTTCAGTGTGTAAAGTTATTTTCCCAACTGTGAGAAATATAGCGTTTTATATGTACTCGGCTTTAACTTTTCTATCAGACAGTGCTTTACTCTTCTTCTCCCGATCTACTCTGAAATGAGCAAATATGAGGCTTTGCTATAATCCAGCCAATTTCAGCTCAGACAAAAAGGAGAAAAGAAGTTGACAGCCGACGCAAGTGTGGCCTCAACTGTTTTATTACTTGGTTTCACTTTGAATGGAATGCTTATATAGACTGGACTGATCCCAGGTTTTACTGTGTCTTGCCACCCGCGGAATCTTTAAATCAGCCAATATGTCAGAAACGCCAACGGTTCAGTGCACGTGGGCTTACCTTAAAGTAGGCAATGAAGCCGTGAAAGGCCAAACAATGAACTGAATGCGGCCCTTCCACTGTGCGGCTTCACGCCAAGGATAAAGCGGCATTTAGCTGCTCTCCGTCCGTGCTGTGGAAAATGGGAAAGACGGTGGACGCAGCAAGGTCTCAGCGATAGGTCAGAGCGGCTCAATCCAAGCTCAAAACACTGCATTAAATCAACTGATGAGGCTGTAAGTCATCCAGGCCCCGGAAGCCATGAATGAAACATGAGGTTTTAGCAGCGTATACGCTTTCAATAGAAGCTGTAGTTAAGATGTCGGGCTGACCCCTGGGAAAAAACAAAAAAAGAGAAGAATTTGGGAAGTTTCTATATAACTTGACCAGTGTTCTCCAACCTTATCAAGCTGTTTCACATGATTTCATTCAAAACAATCCCATGGCACAACACAAGCTAAAACTGATGCAAAATGAAACTGTAGCCTTGAGAATTAGACACAAGTATATTATAGAAATTCTTACATTATTTTATTTTCACATGATTTCACATGATTTCGACTGATTTTGAACATTGTACCGCGCATTGGATGACCTTGGTCTGTAAAAATGTGATACATGAATAAACATTACTTTCTTACTAGACTATTAGGTGATATTGTATCACCTCCAAAGCCACACCAAACAACATCTCATGGCAAACTGGTTGGAAAACACTGAAGTAGACAATAAGGAATGCAAGGATTTTAACGTGCATAGAGTTAATCTAATAAAACAATAAAGCTGTCGTATATTTGAAACCACAACAAGATTTCTATAGTCCTATGTTTCTATGTAGCTCATGAAGAGAGCAAGAACCAATCTTTTTTGACTAATACATTGGTTGAAAAAGATTGTGGTCTGGACCCACATAATTATACACTCTGCTACTTAATTGTATATGGACATAAAAATACAGGAAAACAATGTTAAGTGGAACCGCTTATTCTTATATGGGAAAAACTATACAATTGAAATGCAAAAAGGGAGATTTATGTGTTAAAAAAAGGAAGTAAATGCATTAGAATATATTTGTTCAAGTCTAATTTAGATGTGGTCTCTTGTGGTTGAGGTATTTAAAGATTTAAAATGTGGCTCTCCTCAAGAGATTGTGGATAACTAACCTCAGGCATAATATATTAACTACTCTACTTTATTCACATTAAATATGGCAAGCTCACCCAAGTTTTACTTTAAATTTTATATTAAGTTTAATTAATGTTTTTTTTCCACATGTCCACTGACAGCTCTCTTGTCACTTACAGTCATTATTCTGTTTATATTTTTTTGTGCCGCTAACACATGCACAGTTAACTGTCACTTTTACTGCGTCTCCTAATATAAATATAGTAAAATGGCTCAACTATATAAGCCCACAGATAATAAATAAAATAGACAAAATCTATGTATTACAGTTATTTGTCATTGCAAATTGATAATAACAATGACATTAACACTAAACAAACCCAACAGGCTCCTGTGGACTCACCACCTGCAGGAGGATCAGTGAGGGGCTGGTGCTACGTATGTGTACTGGGTGCTGCTCTGACTGCTAACCCCCTGACCCAGATATGCATTAAGGGGAAGAAAATGGATGGATGGAAACCCAACAGCGCCACCTCATGAAGGGAAAAATAAAAATAAAGACTTGATCCAGTATATCCAATTTTGTAATAATTATCTTTTGAGTTTAAAAACGGTTCAATAAACCCAGACCCAAGTTGCTATCCTACCCTTTAAAACTGGGGTTCTGACGCATAGAATTGGGCCTTGGCAACAGGCACACATCAAGAGAACAGACAGACTCCAGGCCAGACCAGGAGACCATTGTGGCCACATGTTCACCACACAATAAAAATGAATAAAAACAAACAGACAAAAATTTGACAAAATGACAATAAGGACATACAACCACAGAATGGACAAAAGTAGGACCTGGGAGCAGGGAGGAGAGAGGAATAACTATGTATGTATTAAATTATCTGGGAAGGATTTGCCAGTTCAAATCCATCTCCAGCATGGACAAGGGGCTACCCAAAGCACTGCAGTTTGAAGTCTAATCGGAAAATCCTGTGTCTTGAATATTATCTATAACGGCTCCTCCTCAGCTGACAGGCAACCTAGAGCTTTCACTAAGGTCAGTTTTTGTAGAGATTTTAGTGTCCCGATTTAGTCATCCAGAACTTTTCTTTCAAAATCCATCGGTTTTCTATAACTTGCTCTAGCTGGAGCTGCGTCTAATGAGCCGTTTATTTGAACGGGCAGGCATTTTGGAGACCCAGGGCTTGGGTACAATAAAGCTCAAATCAAGCTCAGGGTCTCCAAGATGTCTGCCCATTCAAATCAATGGCCTGCTCACACCTTGGGACGTCCCAAACATCAGAATTTGTTTAATAAATATGTGCATTTACAGGAGAGCGGTGGGTTAAACAAGAAAAAAAAAAGATTCCCCACAAAATCCCACCTCAGAGCTGTAGTTTTTATGTCAGCTGAGGATGATCCATTTTAGGTAACATTAAGAATACATAAAACAGGCACAAAGGGGGAAGTTTTGTTGGTCAGAAGGAGAAGGGAATTTTAAAATGAATTAGAATTAAAATGTAATACCCCTTTACTCCATCATGCCACACTATCAATATCCCTCTTGTTTTATCCCACTGTCTTGTAATGCGAAATGACACCGACATTTCCCCACTGCAAGGGAAACAAAGGTTACGTGATCTTATGAATATGTAAATTCATTAGCATGTGATGTGTTGTTTAGACAGTATCAGACACATACTGTAAACACGCTTCATGATAAGAGACATTGTTTCAAACTCCAGTTGAGAAGAAGAACAAAAAAAAGATTGAATTAGACGGGTATGAAAGCATAGTTTAGACAGGAGGATGTCGGTGCAACATTTTATCTAGACAGAAGCCAGTGAGGAACAACAACCTCCTCGACTGAAGCAGAGGAAATCCGCAGGACCGGACGGGATCAGTCCCAGGCTGCTGAGGACCTGTGCAGACCAGCTCTCTGGGGTCCTCAGCTACATGTACAACCTGAGCCTCAGCCTGGAGAAGGTCCCTGTCCTGTGGAAGACCTCCTGTGTGATCCCGGTCCCAAAAACAGCACACGCCAAGGAACCGGCTCACTACAGACCAGTCGCACTGACCTCCCACCTGATGAAGACCCTGGAGCGGCTCATCCTCACCCATCTCCGCTCCGTGGTCAGCCCCACCCTGGACCCGCTGCAGTTCGCCTACAGGCCCAACATCGGAGTAGAGGACGCCGCCGGATCTCCCACCTGGAGCCCGCCGGGAGCGCTGTGAGAGTCATGTTTTTTGACTTCTCCAGTGCTTTCAACACCATCAGGCCGGCACTGCTGCAGGGGAAGATGGAGGACGCGGGAGTGGACAGTAGCCTCACTGCATGGACCATCAACTACCTCTCAG